GAGATTAAGGTTTGAAACTCTCTTACTCTGAACCCCTATTGCCGCCATCTTTTTCTTCATCTTCTCTTCCTTAGAAGAATGATTTCTGTTATTTTGATTTCTGCATCTGTTCTAAACGGTCCTTTATTCTCAAAAGACTGTTTTTCTTCTTGGTATCAGAGCAGGCTTTCTTTTCCCTTTTTTTCACCCTCTTTTCCATACACAGTGTGTATGGAGAATTGAATCGTACGGACTGTTAAAGAGACTTTGTTCAGCCCAGTTGTTAGTGGTTTCTGGAGAGAAGAGGACTGACTTTGTCGCCTCCTTGGCTGATTCAAGTGTATTGCCCGAAACCCTAATTTTCTGGAGAAATTTGTTTGCGGGCCCCGCAGGGTGTTTGGACTGGGCGCTCAGTGTCTGGAGGCTTTCTGATTTTCCTTCTTGAAGATCGAACCAAGTTGTTTGGTGTTCTGTGTAGTCTACAAGGTGCGGCTCATTTTTTTTCTGTTTCTCCCAGCTTCCGGGTGTGACTCAGATTTCTAGTACTGCTGCATTGAGTGTTTAAAGAGATGAACTCCTCAGAGATTGAAAACAAGAATATTGCTGAATCCGGGCAGGTTCCGGGAGCCTCTGCTGACTCTCTACTGACTGTGACCATAGTCAAGCTGGATGGAACTAATTATCTGGCATGGTCACAATCGATAAAGATTCATATCTGTAGTAGAGGAAAGTGGGGTTTTATCTCCGGGAGCAAAAAGGCTCCCTCAGAAGATGATCCATCTTATGAGAAGTGGATGCAGGAAAATTATTTTATTATTGGGTGGCTTGTGAACTCAATGCAACCACAAATTATTCAACACTATTTGTGGATGAATTCAGCAAAGGAAATCTGGAATAGTGTTGCTGAAACCTATTCCCAAAAATTAAATGTGGCCAGAGCTTACAAGTTGAGAAGTGATGTGAAGAATTTAAGAAGGCTTAACTAAACTAAACCTATTCCCAAATAGAAGCTGTAACTTGGGACACCACTAATGATGCAGAGACCTACAGAAAACTGGTTGAGAAAAACAGGGTGTTTGAGTTCTTAACTGGACTAAACACAGAGTATGATATTACAAAACAAAATATTTTATCCAAGGATAGTGTCTCACTGTCACAAGCATATGCCTTGGTAAGTAGTGAAGAAAGCAGAAGGCTTGTCCAGGTTCAAGGGGCTGGTCTAAATGATCACTTTGCTAATATGGGAGTGAAACCCAAAGGGGTTGCAAGGACTCCAAGTGGCTCAGGGAAGAAAGAGGTTGTCTGTGAGTATTGTAAAAGGCCAAAACACACTAAAGACAAGTGCTGAAAATTACATCCTGAGCTTCTACCTCTTCGGTTTCAAAAGAAGCATGATAATAAAAGGGCAGGGAGTGCTAATGTTGCTGCTGGTCCAGATAGTGACAAATACCAAACTGAAGAGATGACAGCTAGTGCGCAGTTAGCAGCTATGAAAGCAGAATATGAGAAGTTTGGGAGGATGATCAATCACCTAGAGGGTATGACTTCTTCCTCCAACCCTTCAGAAAATTCAACATCTTCTGCATTTGCTCATTTAGGTATACGGGCTTCTGCCAATCATGCAACCATTTCAGGTAATCGTAGGATCCCTTGGATTATTGATTCAGGTGCTTCTGATCATATGACCAACCTTTTTACCTTGTTTGTTTCATACGATTTACTTCCTGAACGTGACAAAATCACCCTAGCCAATGGCTCTCTTGCCCCTATCTCCGGCAAGGGAACCATCAAGGCTACAGACTCCTTGGTTCTTCCTTCTGCTCTTCATGTACCTAGACTAAATACAAACTTGTTATCTGTAAGTAGTCTAAGTCATTAAACTATTGTGTAACCTTTTTCCCTTCCTACTGTGCTTTTCAGGATCTAGAGTCTTAGAAGGTGATTGGGAATGGCCGTGAGGCGAATGGAATATACCTGCTTGACACTCCAGGACAGTGCCCTAAACAACCTGGAAAAGCTGCTTTTGAGTCTATATTTACAGAGTCTATCAGTCGAGTCATGTTATGTCATTTTCGTTTGGGTCATCTTTCTTTTTCTGCATTGAGTCATTTATTTCCTGAACTGTTTAAGAGAATTAGTTTGTCCAGTCTTCATTGTGTCTTGTGAGTTGTCAAAGCATTGTAGAAACAGTTATCCCTTGAGTAATAAAAGATCTTCTTCTCCTTTTAATAGTGTGCACTCTTATGTGTGGGGGCCTTACCACTTACCCTCTATGGGTGGCTACAAATATTTTATCTTGTTCATTGATGACTTTTCTCGGTTTACTTGGATATTCCTGATGAAATCCAGTGATGAAGTTCCCAGACTTGTGAGGCAATTCCATGAATTTGTCCTAACCCAGTTTGATACCAGGATTAAAATTTTTAGATCTAACAATGCAAAAGAATATTTTGAGAAGAACTTGTCCTGCTATCTCACTGACTTAAGGGTTATTCATCAAAACTCCTGTGTTAGGACCCCAGAACAGAATGGAGTTGCTGAAAGAAAAAATAGACATATTGTTGAAGTTGCAAGAAGTATCCTGTTTGCCTCACATGTCCCTACAAAGTTTTGGGGTGATGTTATTCTCACTGCTACCTACCTTATAAACCGTATGCCATCCAGGGTTTTAGGGTTTAAGTTCTCCATCCGGACAATGAGCTTTTTTCTATTCCTCTTCGTGTCTTTGGATGCACCTGTTATGTACATATCCCTAGTGTCCAAAGACATAAATTTGAACCAAAAGCCCACAAGTGTATCTTCCTTGGTTATTCCCCCATGCAGAAGGGTTACTATTGCTTTGATCCAAAGACTGGTACTCGATATGTCACAATGGATGTCACCTTTGATGAGCTTTCTTCTTTCTATGGTTCCTCTATGGAGGGACATTGTCCAAAGGGGGAGGATTTTTCACAGGTCTTTGCTCTTCCTCTTCTTGTCCTAGTTGAGTCTTTTATTGAGTCCCTTCCTCCTTCAAATGAATCGGGGGAGGATCAATCATTCCACTCTTCCTGTTTCAGTGTTCCTCCCCCTTTACCTCCCCGTCCTCTTTTTAATCCCAGGATGTATCAAAGGCAAAGATCCAGAAATGAGCAGGTTGTTTCCCCTACAACACATGAGCCTCATGCACTTCCAGTTACAGATGAGACAACAGGTACTGTTTCAGCCCCTTTGGAGCCATCATTCCCAAACCTTGATATCCCCATTGCTATTAGGAAAGGAAAAAGGAAGTGTACTGCACATTGCATTTCCAAACACCTTTCTCATAGTTTGCTTTCTCCTTCATATTTTGCCTACCTTTTTTCTGTTGCCTCTAACCCAATTCCCAGGTCTGTGTCAGAAGCTCTTAATATTCCAGAATGGAATGATGCTATGAGATCAGAAATTGATGCCCTGCACAAGAATGACACTTAGGAAGTGATTGATTTGCCTGAAGGGAATGATCCAGTTGGCTGTAAGTGGGTCTTTACTATCAAATATCAGGCTGATGGCACCATTGAGAGGTACAAGGCTAGGCTGGTTGCAAAAGGTTATACACAGACATATGAGATTGATTATCTAGAGACCTTTGCCCCTATTGCCAAGATGACTTATGTGAGAGTTCTTCTATCTTTGGCTACTCACTCAGACTGGCCACTTTATCAATTGCATGTAAAGAATGCATTTCTGAATGGAGAATTACATGAGGAGGTTTATATGTCTTTTCCTCCAGGGATGTATGAAACAAATATGAAAGGAAATGTATGCAAGATGAAGAGATCTCTTTATGGACTAAAACAATCCCCTAGAACATGGTTTAAGAGGTTTAGGGCTGCCCTTGTTAAATTTGGCTATGTACAGACACAGTATGATCATACTCTCTTTGTGAAGAGGAGAAGATTCCTGGCAATTTACCTGATTGTGTATGTTGATGATATTGTTGTGACTGGTAATGATGTCTCAGAAATTAATGATCTCAAATCTTTTTTTCATACAGAGTTTGAGATCAAAGATCTGGGGGAGTTGAGATACTTTCTTGGCATAGAAGTTGCTAGATCCAAGGATGGGATTCTTATCTCTCAGAGGAAGTATGTTCTTGATATTCTCTCTGAAACAGGGAAGATGGGTGCTAGACCAGTTACTACTCCTATTGATATGAGTCATAAACTCTCTGCTTCAGATGGAATATTGTTAGAAGACAAAGGAGTCTTTCAGAGACTCCTTGGAAAACTTCTTTATCTATGCATGACTCGGCCAGACATTGCATATGCTGTCAGTTGCATCATCCAATTCATGCATGCTCCCCGGGATACTCATATGGCAGCATTCTGTGTTATTTGAAGGGCTCCCCTAGAAAGGGAATTCTATTTGCCAAGCATGGCCATATGAAACTTGAAGCCTATACAAATGCTGACTGGGCTGGAAACATTGATGACAGAAGATCTACTTCTGGGTACTGCAACTTGGTAGCAGGTAATATTGTCTCTTGGAAAAGCAAGAAACAATCTGTTGTTGCTTGATCTTCGGTAGAAGCAGAATACAGAGACATGGCACATGGAGTTTCTGAACTATTGTGACTAAAATCATTGATGGAGAAACTGGGGATTGAGCATGATAAGCCAATGATGTTATACTGTGATAATCAAGCCGCCATCAACATTGCTCACAACCCAGTACAACATGATAGAACTAAGCATATTGAAGTTGACAGACACTTCATTCGAGAAAGAGTGGCTTCTGGTGACGTACGTTTACCTTTCATCACCTCTGAAGGACAGTTAGCAGATTTCCTCACCAAGGGCATTCCTAAGGCTAAACTTCAGCATGATACTGGCAAGCTTGGCATGATTGACATCTATGCTCAATTTGAGGGGGAGTGTAGAGAAGATGGGCCGAATGGCCCATAGGCTGTTTATCCTTTTTTATCTTTTATGTTCT